GGACCTCTTGGGAGTCTCTTGAGGCTCCTTGGCGGCGTTTTGGAGGCCCCCAGGGCCTCTTGGGGGGCTCTTGGGGGTAGTCGATTGCGGCTCCCCCCTCGGAGGCCACGATCCTCGTGAGGGGTGTCGAAAAATACCCTCCCCTGGAGTGGTCTGGTGTTTTTTATACATATGCTCCGCGGGGAGCGTAAGACGCGGGTTTGCCAGGACTCGGGTTCGCCATCGTTTTTTGACGACCGCGACCCGGATTCTGACGAGTAGGAACTTCGAGGGATGTCTGCAGCGGGAGGCCTCGTCAAAATGCAGGCTCGGCCTCGTCATTTTTTCGACGACCCCGTCGGGGATTTCCGAGTCCACTGTACCCGGGTCTTACGCTCCCCTGAATATGCTCCGCGTGCGGATCATGTATTAAACATGCAGGGATTTGGTCTTAAAAACAACGATGACCTCATGCATGACTTCATTCATGCATATGCTCTGCGTGCGGATCATGTGTATTAAAAGTGCAGGGTTTAGTACTGAAAACAACGATGAGTTCATGCATAACTTCACTCATACATGGATCATGGATTAACCATCCTAGATGTTTAAGTCCCATGTATTAAAAACAACGATGAGTTCATGCATAACTTCACTCATACATGGATCATGTATCAACAATACTAAATGTTTCAAGTCCCATGTATTAAAAACAACGATGAGTTCATGCATAACTTCACTCATACATGGATCATGTATTATAACCATCCTATATTTTTTTAAAACATCCCATGTCTTAAAAACTGCCCTGTACGAGGCGCCTACGGGCGGGCAACGGAAACATCTCGCCTGGCCCCCCCAGCGCACGAGGCGCTTGCGGGCGGGCACCCGGCACACGAGGCGCCCGCGGGCTGGGCGCCGCGTAATGGGGGGGTCATAAATGGGGGGGTGGCGAGGGTGGTTCGAAAAGGTACCCAAACGGTACCTAAACGAGCCCCCTGGGGCTCTGGAGGGGCCCGAAAGGGGCACGAAAGGGGACCTTTTCTGACCCCCCCATTTGTGACCGCCCAATTAAGCCACGCCCAAGGGCTGGGCGCAAGGCGAAACCTCGGCTGATCCATCCGAATCCTTCGGAAGGAGAGTCGGAGCCCGCAAGTGCTCGCACTGCCTGGGGGCTTGGTGAGAGCCCACTCGTGCCGACACCGTCCGGGGATGTTCTGAGACGGTTGCCCTCTTTTCTCTCGGGAGCAGGTGCTGAAGGACAGAGGCCGAAATTCGTACGATCGCGCAGAGGTTGTCCAAAGGGATCTTCCTTTCCACTCTCCCCCCCCTCACCACCCACCAAACCACCCCAACCCAACCCGAAGGCTCAGATTTACCCTCGATTTCCAGTTGGGGGGGGGTCGGGAAACATCGAGAAAACACGTGTGGAACCCTTACCCCCCCCCCAACCCGAAATTCGGGCCTTCGGGTTGGGTTGGGGTGGTCTGGTAGGTAGTCACCCCCAGCGCCAAGGGGGGGATTGGGAAAGGGGGGGTTACGAAATTTGCTGCGTGCAGCTGGTTTCGGCCTCACCGAGGGGCCCATGCCTCGAGACATAGCCGCCTCCGGCGCGGGGAGGCGCCGGGAAAATCAGCTACGTGAGCTGATTCTCAAACCCCCCCTTTGCTATCCACCCCTTTCGCCCGACCCGACCAGCGCCAAGGTGGAGCTGCTGGATGCCGCAGGAGCCGAGGCGGTGCCCACGGCCCGCCGGGCCGAGGCCGAGGCCGAGGCAGAGGCGCCGGAGGCCCGGGCGGCGCCCGCAGCAGGCGAGGCGCAGGAGTCGGCGGCGGAATCCGAGCCCTGCAGTCGAGGCTGACGAGTAGATCGGCCCCGCGAAGTCAAGGGTACTCGGGGGAGAAAAAGATACGGATACGTGTTGTCCCCCTTCGTTTTTGGCCTCTCCTGGTCCTCCTGGGGGAATCCTCGTTGTCACCGCTGGATTCGCCTCGAAATTCTGGTCAGAACGCACCCCAAGAGAGGTCCGGGGACAACACGTATCCGTATCTTTCCGCCCCCCAAGGTACCCCTCGTGTCCTGTTCTTCGCGACCCATGCCTCCCGCAGATTCCTACGGCAGCCTGGCCCTCGGCAGGGTCTTGCGTCCTCTCGCGTGTCCTCTCCGATAAACCTCGACTGCTGCCCTCGCAGATCCCAGGCAACTCGATGGGCGGCGGGGGTGGGGTTCGGAATGTGTCGGACACGTGGCGAAGTCCGAACCCCACCCTCGCCTCCCATCGATGCAGGAGAACCGATGGTTGCTGGGGGTAGGGCTCGGATGCCGCCACCCAAGGATGCCGCCCAGGCCGAGGTGGAGGCGCCAGAGGCCACAGCGACGGCGGCCGGCGAGGCCGACAAGGCACGGGCAGAAGTGCCGGAGGCCAGGGCAGCGCCCGTGGCCGACGCGGCGCCCGAAGCCGAGGAGGCCGACGCTGCAGCTGCCGCCGGAGAGGCCGACGGAGAGGCGTCAGAGGACGAGGCGGCACCTGCGGCCGACGATGCTCGGGAGGCCGACGAGGCGCCGCAGCCCGAGGATGCGCGCGCAGCAGGCGAGGCCGAAGTGAAGGCGCCGAAGCCCTCCGCTGCTCAGGCGGTGGTCGCGGCCGACGAGGCCGAGGCGGCGGCGTCTGCAGCCGACGAGGCTGGGGCTGAGGTGCCCGAGACCGAGGCTGCGGTACCTGTGGTCGGCGATGCGCATGAGGCCGACGAGGCGCCACAGACTCAGGCGGCGGCCGAAGCAGGAAACGCCGCAGTGGCGGAGGCGCCCAAGACAGCGGCAGCCGAGGCGGCGGCCGCGGCAGTGGAGGCTGAGGCGGCCGAGTCGGCTGGCGAAGCCAGGGAGGAGGTGCCAGAGTCCAAAGCTGCGCCGGGGGCCGGTGAAGCACAGGACGCCGGACATGTGCCCGAGGTCGGTGAGGCCGAGGCTGCAGCTGCAACCAACGTGGCCGAGGCAGAGGCGCCAGAGGCTGAGGCGGCACCCACGGCAGACGAGGCGCGGGAAGCCGACGAGGTGTCACAGGCCGAGGTGGCGGCCGCAGCCGGCCAAGCCGAGGTGGAGGCGCCAGAGGCCAGAGTGACCGCGCCCGACGAGGCCGACGCGGCGGTTGCTGCCGACGAGGCAGAGGCAGAAGCGCCAGGGGCCGCGGCAGCACTCCCGGCCGACGCGGAGCCCGAGTCCGATGAAGCCGAGGGTGCAGACGCAACCGAAGAAGCCGAGGCAGAGGCGCCTCAGCCCGTGGCAGCACAGGCAGCCGACGAGGCGACAGAGGCCAGTGAAGCCAAGGGTGCAGCTGCTGCCGAAGCAGAAACGCCGCAGGCCGAGGCAGCACTGGCGGCCGACGTGGCGCCCGAGGCCGACGAGGCGCCACAGGTCGTAGAGGATGCGGCCGCCTCAGCCGACCAAGCAGAGTTGGAGAAACAGGCGACCGCGACATCCGGCACGGTGGCCGCGACCGACCAGGCCGAATCGGGACCTGTGGCCAAGGAGGCGTTGGAGGCCGACGCGGCGCCAGAGGCCGAGGTGACGGCAGCTGCGGGCGAGGCCGACGTGGCGCTACAGGCCGCAACGGCCGAGGTGGCAGCCACGGCCGAGCAGTCCGAGGCCGAGGCTGCAGCCGACGAGGCCAGCGCGGAGGCACTTGAGGCCGAGGCGCCACGGACGGCCGACGAGGCACAGAAGGCGGGCGAGGCGCGGGAGGCCGAGGCGGCGGCCAGAGCCGACGGCGCCGAGGCGGAAGCGCCGAAGGCTGCGGCGGCAGAGGCGGCGGCCACGGCCGAGGAGGCCGAGGCTGCGGCTGGAGCCGACGAGGCGGGGGCGGCTGCGCCGGAGGCCGAGGCAATGCCCGCGGTCGACGAGGCGCAGAAGGCCGGGGCGGAGTCGTCAGAAGATGCTGGGGAGGCAGAGGTGGTGGGGCTGGAGGCCACCGGCGCTGCCGACTCTTCCGTTCGCCGGGGCCTCCCACACGGTGTCCGAGCGGGCGGGGTTGGAGGTTCGTGCCGCTCTGGCGATGCGGCTGTATGTGTGGCCAGATCTTCTCCATGCCGACAGCGCCGATGCATCGGCGATCCATCGACGATGCGGCGTGCTTCTCCGACTCCCTCGACTCGGACCCCATTGGGGAGGCCTCAGGCTTGTCCCCCATCTGCCACTCTGAGGTTCTTCCTCCCCCATCTTGTCCCTCCCCCCTGTCCTCCTCCCTTCCTCGCCCCTCCCACCCACGTAAGGGCCACAAGCACTCTGGTACAAGCTGCCTTGCTTGTTTGTTCCCTGTGTCAGTCGCTAACTGGTCACTCAAGGTATGTACCCTTACGTTCGCAGCTCGCAGTGCCACATGCTAACATTCTTCTGACTCGGAGGTGGCGTACCCAGGGGGATCCCTGCCGTGCCATCGCCGTGCATGGGTCCATCGCGGTTCGACGGTGATTGGACATGGCCTCTGCGGGCATTGAGGACCCTTGGGCCGTCTAGGGGGCGATTGCTTTCCTGAGCACCTGTTAAGAAACGTTATCGACGACGCCTGCGGCGAATCACCGCTGCCCCCTGCATTTGAGGATACGCCTCTGTGGCCACATGTTTGGGCAAAGTTTGGCCACGCTCGTGGGCCATGCTTTCCCCAAGCCAGCGTGGAAGCCTTCTGCGGAGCACGTGGAGGAGGAGGGGGAGGAGGAGGAGGAGGAGGAGGAGGCGGAGGAGGAGGAGGAGGAGGAGGAGGCGGAGGAGGAGGAGGAGAGGGAGGAGGAGGAGGAGGAGGAGGAGGAGGAGGCGGAGGAGGAGGATGAGGAGGCGGAGGAGGAGGAGGACGAGGAGGAGAGGGAGAAAGAAGGAGGATGAAGAGAAGGAAAAGGAGACCTTTTGGGAGCTTTGGTCTTTCTTGTGGCCTCCTGCGAGCTTCCTGGGGCCCCCTTGGATGTCTCTTGGGGGCATCCTTGGGCCTCTTGGGGGCCTTTGGTGGCGTCTTGGGGGTCTCTTTGCCCGTCTTACGGCGTTCCTGGCCCGTCTAACGCCGTCGGAAGCCGTCTTGGGAGCCTCTCTGGGCCATCTGGGGGTCCTCTTGGGGCGCGTCGGGGTCGTTTTGAAGGCCATCTTGGGCGTCTTGGAGGCCTCCTGGGCCGTCTTTGGGACACTTTGTGGGTGCCTCTTGGGCCGTCCTCAAGCAATATTGGAGGCCTCTTGGGCGATCTTGGGGCAATCTTCGGGGCCTCCTGGACCGTCTTGGGCCGTCGGAAGGCCGAACAGGAGCAAATGACCGAATCCTTCAGACAACCAGAGGCAGATCAATGATTTGAGCCGCTTCGGGCCTTCATCAATGACCTCTTAGACGCCTCTGGAACCGTCTTGGAGGCCTCTCTGGGGCCTCTTGCGCAGTATCGGGCAATTTTGAAACCATATTTGGGCTGTCTTGGGTGCACCTTCGGCCTTCTAGACAGCTCCCTTGGGGTCGTTTTAGCCGTTTTGGGAGCCCATCTTGGCCGTCTTGAAGGTCATCTTGGGGCCGTCTGGAGCGGGAAGCCCAACGACCCAGTGAGTTTCCCTGGTCTTTCGGGTGGTGTGCGGGCTGGGCCGCAGCCTGAGGAGGAGTTCTGCAGAAAAGAGCCGAAGCCTCCCAGAAGTCTGGCACGCCGTGCACACCTTTGGCATGACCGAGGGGGGCGGTGGATGACGGCAAACGCGCGTCGCGTCGCGATCCGTGAGTCGGGAGAAGTAACGAGAGGGAGCGTGAGGGGGTTGGCCTCGGGAGACCCAGATCCAACCGCCCAGTGTTAGACCATGTTCGGCCCTAGACGGCCCAAGTCAGCCCCGAGAGCGCCTCAGAGGGCTCCAAAATTGCCCCAGACAGCCCCAAGAGCGCCCAGTGTTCTTCCGAGGCGGCCTCCGGGAGGCCGAAAAGGATCACAAAACGGCCCAAGAGCGATCAAAGAGGGCCCCAGACGGCCTCAAGATGGCCAAAGAGGACCTCAAGACGCTCCACGAATCCTCCAAAAGGACGCCCAAGAGGCACACATCGTCTCATTCCACTTGGGAAAACTTGCACTTCCAGCATGGCTGTGCGGGCACTTTAGTCACAATGAGAACGGTTCGACGTACATCCATTTCTCTATATAGCCGCTCCTTGCTCGAGCATTCGACGGGGTCTGCATGTGTCCTGCCCTCGGGAACGCCGGGCCCCAGAAGTTTGTTCGGGCACTCGTTCACAGCTCACTGGCCGCCACAGCAGGGCAGGCGGCTACACCCTCGACCGCCTTGCCCACCGTGCGAGCTGCGCTGCGGCGAGGTAACGGTGCGCCCTGCGTGCGAGGTGAACTGCTTGCCCAGCAGCTGCGCCTTGCGAGGGGCCAGGGGCCCCAGGAGCTCGTGCCTACGAGGTGCTGGGAGGTGTGCTGATGGTGACGACAATCACGTTGATCGGCCAGTGGGTTGCAGGACGAGGACAGCGTGATGCTTGCCGCTCGCGCGCCGAGAGTGGTGGAAGTCCCTGGTGCCGGGGACTCGTCTCCTCTTCAAGTAACGAGGACCTGGTGCACGAGCGCGTCCTACTCTGGCTTCTCTCCAGTAAACGCTGGGCCGTGTTGACCCGAGATGGAGATATCTATGACGAGGTGCTGGTGGATGAGGACGTCGATGAGGTTTACGCGTGCGAAAGGGAGGCCGCCTTCCCGCTCATCTGGCTCATCCTGCCTACCGGTTTCGCGGGAACCTGGAGATAGAGGGCGTTCGACAGGCCATCCGTGAAGGTCGTGCTGAAGCTGAGCGGCTTCACGCAGAGGGAGCTGCTGCCCTGGTTGAGTTTGCTGATGTGCGTGGCTGGCGTGACTGGGGCGGCGCCGAGTTCGCGCTGGGTGGCCTGCTGGGGGCGCCACTGGCTAGAGCAGTCGCTGGAGCGCCTCGTGTGGACGCTGAGCCTGGCGCGGTCTGGACGGCCGCCGCGGCGACATTGAGCTTCTCCCTGAGACGGAGGCTGCAGGCGGTGGTTGGCCTCAAGGGGCCGCGCCGCTTGCGCGCCCCGGGCGGCATCGGGGAGGTGGCATTCATTGAGAAGATTCAGGGGGGGCGCCCTGGCTGACTGCGCTGGGTTTCGGCGGCCTGCCGTTCAAAAGTGTGCAGGGGGGGTCAACCGCGCCTCGAGGAGCTGGCAGCGAAGCTCCCAAGGCCGCCGGGCAAGGAGAGGAGGACGACGCCCGTACCTTGTTTGTGCTGCACGATGAGCAGGGCGAGCAAAGGCGTCCGTGGCGGCGCGCGGCAGCGTCGTCTTCAGAGAACTTCTACGAGGATTGGCCCGTCGAGGGCCCACCTGCTACTCAGTGGCTGTCGAAGCACGTGGAGCGCGCTGGAGGGTCGCCGATGCAATGGTATCATCGTGTTTTGGCCGAGTCAAAGATTGCTCCTATTGATCGTGAGGCTTGCGAACTGCCAGTGATCTGCAGGACGTTCGAGCACGCTGGATCGTACGATTAGTTGAATATTCCCTCGTTGTCTTGTTTCGAGGCCTTGTTTGAGTGCCGGCAGCTGCTCTTCGACGCCAACTCGAGGGGCCCAGGGGGTCCGAAGTTCGAGGATGTTGACTTCTGGTTGGGGGCGCGGCAGCGCGGCCTGGGCACTGCGCCATCGCCGTCAGCCCATATCGCGAAGAGGGCCAAGGGCCAGGCCGAGATCGAGACGGCCATTCAGAAGCCAAGGAGGCGCGGGGACCGAAGAAGGATCGCCCGCCTCCGGAGAAGACGCGAGCTGCAGCCCCCCATTCACCCGGGTCTCCGGGGGCGGAGGGGTCGAAGACAGACCGAGGCGAGCAGGCTTGGTGCTTGGGTTGGGCCACCGCCTACATCTTGAGATGCCTCAGAGGCCGGTGGAGCTCATCCCACTTCCCCGAGTGGCCGTGACTGAAGTCGTTGGGAAGCACCTTTCTCGAGGGGCTCGACAGCGCGCTGGGCGTGGCCGTCGCGCTGCTTTGCGCGTCAGCCACGCCGTGGAGTCGCTGGACTGGCTCGCCGGGTGCAGTGACTTGGCCCCCGAGGTGCTACTGGGGGCCATTCTCGGGCCCTGGATATTCTGATGGCGGCCGCGAATGAGAGTGCCCCCGCAGAGCCCGCGCCGCAACCGCATGGAGCTGCCGGCGAGCTTCTGCGTGCCCGAGCAGGTTATTGCTCGGGAGAGTCGCCTGTGATGCCACTTAAGCCAAGTGTGGTTTCCCTCCCGCCCAGCGCCCACTCGCGCCCGATTGCCGCGGGCCTGCCGGAGGGTCGCGATCATGAGTTTCTCAATCATTTCGAGGCGCGGATCGTCAGATCGGATGTGGTGTTTTGGACGATCGAGGATAATGCCTTTATTTAGACGTGCGCCTGAAGTCAGATGTCGGCCTGTGCACCACCCTTGACGGGCAGCTCGCCGGGAAGGGCGTCGCGCGTTGGTGCCGCTATGCGAAGGGGAGAAGTACCCTCTTCTTGGTAAGAAAGAAGGGCGGACGCCAACGCCTGATAGTGGGCGCCCGTCGTGCGAACCGCCGCTCTCACGATCCACCCTCTATTAGCCTCGCTACTTGCGAGTCCTTTGGCGAGCTGGAGGTGTCGGGTGACCTCGCGGCGCGCGCCGCTTCGACGGACGCGCGGGACTGTCTCTACTCGCTCAGGATCGACGAGAGGTTGAGCCGATACTGTTGGCCCGCCTGCGATTCGAGCTCGCGGCGCTGGGCTGGCGGGGGGGGGTGTGGCAGGCATTGTCCGCGGGCCCGACGATTGGTCTCATCCTTGTTTCGTTGCCTTGCCCATGAGCTTCAAGCGGGGCCTCTATTTCGCGCGGGTGGCCAGCCGAGGACTGGTCGAGAAGGCGCCTTATCTGACGCCCTCAAGTCGGTTGCAGAATTGTGGAGTAGGACAGCTTCTACCAAGCACTCGCGGCACTGTGCGCTACATCTGTGGCGACGACGT